GAAGAGCAGAGAGGGCCTTCGTAGGCCAATGCCTGGGTGGAGGCACCCTCGCAGCCTGGCTGTACGGGGCGCTGCAGGGACTGAGGAGGAACTCAGCAGGACTCTATGGCTGAGGCAGAATGTCCTGCCAGCCAGTGGCAACAGGGCGGCTCTGGCCCCCTCAGGAGCTGCTAGGGGAAGGCTGGTGCTAAACACGTCACTGGTGCTGCTGTTCTTCCAGAGCAAGTTCAATTGTAAGCAAATTACCACAATGCAGGCATCATTCCTAACAAGTTAAATCTGGGAAGTATCAGGTTAAGAGAGATTTCATGCACTGGATCCAATTTACTACAGAGATTCAAATGGAGCCATTTTTGTTTGATACTACAGATGGAGATTCTTTTCAAAAGTTAAAAAGCTGGATCAGAGAATTAAGAAAATGGTGAGAAATGAAACCTCTTTATGTATAGTTGGCAATAAAATAGACTTTGAAAAGGAGAAACATGTTTCCATTCAAGAAGCAGAATTGTATGCCGAATGTGTGGGAGTGCACACATGCTGCACTCATCAGCCAAACAGACCAAAGGATTGAAGAACTCTTTCTTGACCTTTGCAAAAAGATGGTAGAAATAGCACAAGTGGATGCGAGGGAAAAATGGCTACAGTCAACCAGGAGCTGCAAGGAGAGCTGTGTAGATTATTGCTGCAAAGCCAGAGCAGTGGCAGAGGTTGCTGTTCTGAACTGTTCACACCTAAGAAATTAAATATGTACAAATAACAAACTGGGTCTTTGCTCTCAGCATGAAGACTGCTGTATTCCAAGTCACATTATTTTACCAATGGAATTACAGGAGTAGCAGTATTTTAAATTCTGTTCCTAACAATGCAGAGACCCAAGTGCTAAATTAGTGGAGTTTGTGACCAGAGAATTGGCAGTGTCTACAAAATATTTTTCATGTGTTTTTTCTTTAATCAGGACTAATAGGCATGTAGAAAAGACCTACTTAAAGGCTTCATTTACTGATGTATTGTTTTAAGTCAAATCTTGAATAACTTATACATGCTGTAATGTATACATTTTTGCAACCCTTTGCTTTTTGTGGTAGTTTGATTTGTATCATTTCTGAATAGCAAACTTTTTGTCTTTTTAATTAGCAGATTTCTGAAGTACTATTTTTGCACAGGCCCCTACCTGTCTTCTATTTGGATATAATCTGTTTACATCCTGCATGCTGAACTGGTAAAATACAGTGTACACTATACATTAAATATTTTATCACAAGGTATAAAAATACATACAGTAGTCTCATTGATGTCTCAGAGGGTATCATTGGTGATAATACATAGGCTTTTTGACTTTTTAATAAAGATCATAGCTTCCTTTCACTTTTGTCTTAACTCAAAAGTGGGGTGTTTAAATTTTCATATATCTATTACTTGAATTATTGCTATTATCACATTTTTTGACTCTAATTCCATCTGATGACAAACAGCAACATTTGCTTTTAGGTTTTTTTTTTTTTAATGAAAGAAATTACTCTCTCGATTTTTCTTTAGAACGGGTCCCTTACCTATGTTTGAGTGGAGCATGTTGTGATTTTCTGCAATGGTTTTGGTTTTCTTTTACACTTTATGTGAGATGGGTTTGCTGTTGTGAGAAGAGAGGAAGGGTGTTCCAGATAGTAGCTACTCACTAATATTCATTCATACAGCACTTTAATGGTAGTTTATGCTCTGGAGGCAGCACTTTTATTACTAATTATTCTTTAATTATTTTTTTACGTCGTTGTCCCCATAATCCTCCCCACACTGTGTCATACATGAACCATCACCATATTCTCTTGTGCTCTTCCCTACCATTTTGAAACCCCTCATTACCCTTCCTGGCTGTATGCCTCTGATCTATGATCAGCTTGCTAGTTATTTTTAAGATTTATTTATTTATGCATATAGAGCTGAGGTACAGGCCAGAGGTGTAGGGAAGGTGAGAGGATTCACCGAACACAGAGTGGGGAGCAGAACAGGCATATTGATGAAATACACTGCTGAGGGGAGCAGCAGGTGAGACAGGAGAAGTCTGCTGCGCCATATGGGTCAGCTCCCTGTGTGGGGATCCAACACTTGCTGAAGTGGCTGCCTCTAACTTCGTAGTGTTGCACTCTAACCCGTTGTGCCACCAGGAAGGGAGTGCCCAGCTTGCTAGTTTTAACTTTTTCTTGACCTTTGTTTTGCTTTCTTGTAAGTGAGACCATCTGCTATTTATTTTTTCCTTCTGACATATCTTGGATAGCATAATCCTCTACAGATCCATCCACGTTGAACATCCACATGAGTTTTTTTTTTTTTTTTTGATTGCTGAGCAGTATCCCATTGTGTAGATCCAGTCATCTATTTTGGGGCATGTGGGTTGTTTCCATATCTTGGTTGCACTACTGTAAATAGTGCTGAAATAAAAATAGGAGTGCAAGTTTCTTTAGAATTAGTGTGTTTATGACCTTTGAGTAGATTCCTAGGAATAGAATTGCTGGATCATATGGTAGCTCCATTTTTAGCATCTGAGGAACCTTCACACAGCTTTCCATCGTGATTGGGCCACTTTGCATTCCCATCAGCAGTGTAAGAGAATTCCTATTCAGGAATCAAAAAAAAAAAAATGCCATTCACAGCCACATGGATGGAGCTGGAAAGGATAATGTTTAGTGAAATAAGTCAGAAGGAAAAAGAAAACTATCGGATGGTTTCACGTATAGGAGGAATATAGGGAATCCAAATAAGGGATCAGCAACAAAATTCTTTGATGTACCACAAAATTTAAGTATGGCCATATTTTGTCCTAATTCTTTCAAAACTGAGTTTATATACAGTAAATATTAACATTAAATAACAAAACCATTTAAAATATTTTACAATTTGATCAGAGTATTTTAAAAAATATTATATATGTATATATCTACATCATTCTTCATTCTGTACATTTTTTCATCTTGGTTGTATTCCCTGTGGACTTCCCACCACCAATGCACCCATGTACCATTATTATAGTCCCATGTTATCTTCCTGTCCCAGTTTTGTTCCTATTGATCAGACTATTTCTAAGGTAAAATTTTAGTGTATATGTATATATATATATATATATATATATATA